ATAATACAATCATCTCTTTGACTTGATAACGTCCTCAGGGGTGAGAGAGGGGCTTTTATAGAGCATCATTATCCTCATTTGATGGTTAATATCTAATTAGGAGGCACTGGTTTGGCTTTTATTTCCATTAAAGACTGAAGATTTGGTCGACAGGGTCGGGTAATCGATTTTCCCAGCTGCTCTTGAACGCCCCAGAGCCTTTAAAGGGTTTGCTCTTTGAACTCCTCAGCTGCTTCAAAGACATCAAAGACTTCAAACTGACCTTAACTGGAAGCAAAGGCCAGCCCGACTTTGTGTCTTTTTTTTTTCCAGCTTTGAACCCATTTTCTTATTACATAAACGCACAAATCTGGATTTCCGACGCCCAGATTTGACGGCAGACGCCGGAAAACGCGGGAAAAAAGACGATCAAAGTTCTCCAAAGACAGAAAACGAGCTCACGTTTGAATATTATACTGCAAGTTTATTGAAAATAGACTAATGGTTCATCGTACCTGTACAGTCTGCCGACTCCATGCAAGTAATCTGAATCCCAACAGAACCGGTTCTGAGGGACGCCATGCATCTCTGGGTTTCTGTTTTTTTATCTTTAACATTTTAAACAAAGCTTTAAACACAGGTCCTCCTTTTTCCAAACACCCACGGGGGGAAAGGAGACGATAAGCAACGGGAATGGATTCACCAGGACACAACAGTTGGGATTCAAGCAGGATTTAAAGCCGGTTTCTTCTCAAGAGTGAGCAGCGAGAGTCTTTTGGTATCAAAAACAAAGCGTCCGCGTCACAAAAAGAAGACAGAAAGAAGAGTTTTCTGAATTAAAAAAACAAAGAGAGAGAGTGAGACTGAGACTGCTTTAGCTCCTTGGATTGTTGATCGATTGCATAACAGATAAGGCTTTTGATTTCTTTCCTTCCTTCTTTCTTTCGTTTCTGGAATCAGACAGATCAAAAATTGGGTCAGGAAATCAGGAAACTCTGACCCAGTCATCAGGACAGATCAAAAATCAGGAGGTTGTCCAGAAAACAAGAATCTGAGGAGCACAAATGGATGCAACTCAATCCCCAAATGAACAGCAGAGTCCTTCAGAAAAATCCAAAACTGTTGTCGTTTGAGGACCAAACGTGCGTTTAAAGTCCTTCAGAACAATCCTTTGAGGAGAAAATCAACTTAAAATATATATTCTGAGCACAGTGTGACACTAGGCTGAAACACACTCTGTGGTCAAAAGTAACGGGACGCCGTTTCACATCAGAAACCAAAAACCAAATCCAGGACGTGGCCACCGTCTCCAAAAGGATGGAGGCCTTTCTTTTGGTTTTCCCCGAGTAGAAGGTGGTCATGTGACCTATCTGAGAGGAGAAGATCCGTCTCAGGAGGTGGTTTTGTGGCTCAAAACTCAGAAAACATCGTCCAGGAAAGTGACCGACTCTCCACCTGTCTCCCATACACCGCACGACCCCCCTCCCATAATAAAAAACCTCACCCCGGATCCAACATGGCGTCCAGCTCCAGACAAGAGCCTTTAAACACCGCCCCACCCTTCTGGCCATTAACGGGGTCGATTCCGCTTCAGTTTCTGCAATAAAACGGTGTCCCATTACTTTTGAATTCGCCTGTTCTTCAGCATGTACCCGCCATCTTGCTCAGTTTTTTGAAAAAAATACAGGTTCGACCAAATATTTAAGCTACAATTCAGGTTTATAACGTCAAAGCTCGTTTAAATCAAACAGCTGCTACCACGTTGTGCTGCCATCTTTACCTCAGAGGGACAGTAAACACTGAAAATACCATTTAAACAGAGATAAAAAGGATGTTGGCGTACTAAAAAGGGATGTTTTTTTACTCTAAAAGAGGTGGATGTCACACAGGAAATCAAAGGAGGGCGAGCAGACACCAGACAGAGCATGCAGGCGTGGAATGAAAAAGGTTTATTGAGCTAAAGCGGAATGTAATCACACTGAATAAATTAACAAAACGCACAAACTCGGCCCAATTTGTGTCCGTAAAACCTACGGAAACCTACTCTCAGCAAACACTTAAAGTCTTAAAGGAGGCTAAACTTATTCTAATCTTCCGTCTACCGGCTCTATTAGCGATTTCATTCGGGTCAGATTTGCTGAGGGAGAATTAGCAAACGCTCACAGAGAAGCTCACTTAAGAAAATAACCTTAAATTTGTTCATAAATAAAAAAAAATGATTAAAAAACTAAACAGAAAGGATCAGGAGCTGATCCGTGAGTTCTGCCCGCTGTAAAAAATGACGCTGCTGGATCGGATGGAGGGTCTGCCGAGGTCTGAGGTGGTGGTTTGGGGGGGGGGGGGGGGGGGGCCCTGGGTAGAGGGAGGAGGGGGGTGGGGGGGGGGGGGGGGATCCTTGGGGGCAGCGCCCCCCCCCCCCCTCCCCCCCCCCCCAGGGGGCTCACTCCACTTTGCTGTAGTCCTCTATGGGGCCCAGAACCTTCTTCCTCTGCCGGATCATGTGGAAGTAGAGCTGCGGAAAGACTGGAGAGGGAGACGGGTTCAGAGTTTATCCATCTATCTATCTATCTATCTATCTATCTATCTATCTATCTATCTATCTATCTATCTATCTATCTATCTATCTATCTATCTATCTATCATAGCATCCATCCATCCATCCACTAATTTATCGATCCATTAATTTCTCCATCCATCCCTCCATCCACAAATTTATCCATCCACTCATTTCTCCCTCCCTCCCTACTAATTTATCCATCCATCCAGCAATTTATTTCTCCATCCATCCATTAACTAATTTCTCCATCCATCAATCATCCATCCATCCACCAATTTCTCCATCCATCCATCTATCCGCTAATTTCTCCATCCATCCATCCATCAATTTATCCATCTACTCATCCATCCACCAATTATTACTCCATCCATCTCTTCATCCCTCCATCCACTAATTTATCCATCCATCCACTAATTTATCCATCTACCCATCCATCCATCAGTCCATCCATCCACTTATTTCTCCATCCACCAATTTATTTTCCATCCATCCATTCATCCCTCCATCCATCAATTTATCCATCCATCATAGCATCCATCCATCCACTAGTTTCTCCATCCATCCATCCATCCATCCATCCATCCATCCATCCATCCATCC